CATAACACGTAATGTACCCGGCCAAGAGGCCGTAAAAGACCTAATGGATAAGGAGAAGGGGGTGTGACTACAAGTAGGGCTTACTAGCACCTAGACTGGGCAAAGTATTAGCTGCGGACAGCGGGACACTTGGGGACCGGCGCTGCACCCCCACCGCAGGCCAGCGACCAAATATATATATAGTATCTTAGTGTCTGTGTTTATTCGTCACCATACTTTACGTAACAATAGAAACGTTACATTGGTGACCCCAGAGATACTTTCGACGATACCTAGCCACGATGGACTACAACATGGACTCTCACTGGACCTCTACTGTTTGCTGTGATGGAACACTGCCAATACCCTCGCCACAGCTATGATTTTCATCGCGTCCATCTCTGCATTTTCATCTACTACGGCTTGCTGCTCCACGATCGTTACTCACTCATCTGACAGCCTCATCAATGATTACATCATGTTGAATCTACAGCTTGTCCTGCCGACTCTCCGTCGCTGCCAGGGCACTGCTTGTCCTACGCCCACGACAGCTGCTCTGTCATCAGATTCATCTACACGTTCACTCCATTTTGATACTCGGCCGACTCAAGCCCTTTGCGCAGTACAGGACTTACAGCTTGCGTTTCCGACTCTTCGTCGCCTCCAGGACAATTCAGCTCTAGCAGTGATTACCTCGTTGTCCTAACTACGTGCCTACATTACCTCCTATTGTCCTGGTGCCCGAGCCCATCCGCCCCGGATCTAAATGCTCCACCAGCGACCCAAGGACGCAACAATTATGCACATTCTTCTCCCCTGCTACACCGAGCTTGTCCACACACTGCCTACATCTTTTGGTACCAGACTACAATTTCCACAGTCAACAATGTAGTACTCGGCGTGTACAGTCCTAATCAACCCAAGACGCTACAGCTTCGACACAGAGCAGACAGCAGACTACGACCGCATCGAGCCGCCACGCTCTCCCACGTAGAGCTCCACGACTCCGGCCTCACTCAGCTCTCTGCTCTGCTCCAGGCTTCGTCTCAAACGTCTGCGACACTGCTAAATCCAGAGACACATCCGCCGACTACGCAGTTCACTTTTCGACCACAATTACCAGCAGCACCGCCACCTACGACGACGGACGATCCTGTGCAACCTCCCACCCTACGACCCCAGTTAGATGACATCAGCGAAGAGGAGGAAGTTAACTTTGATGGTTATGTAACGCGAGCAGGGCGTACAATTCACCGACCAGCAAAGTTCCTTGATCAAGTATTTTTCCTTTCATCCCCTGGGAGGGGGAGTTCTGTAGCGAGTAGATTATCCCAATAATATACTCGCTCCAAATGCTTTGTTAATATTCCTGTCAACCTTTAGAGATAAATGAGGTGAGGCGTTGCCCGGGCAACACGGTGAGGTGTTGCTCGAGCATATAAGCAGCAGAATAGCAAACATTAACCAGAGTCTACTTTCAAGTGTGGTCTAGAGCAGACACTTGCGAGATACTGTACCGACGCTCAGTGCGCTCAACTCACACCAAAGTATCACCTGTGTACTTCTGTATATTCGACCAAATATATATATAGTATCTTAGTGTCTGTGTTTATTTGTCACCATACTTTACGTAACAATAGAAACGTTACACTCTCAATAAATGTTATGTACTCTCGCAACCCAATGTACGTTCTTGTATATAAATAAATAGATTTCAACTGTAAGGGGATATGGTTTGCACCTTGTTATTCAAATAATGGATAAATAATTCTAATAATGGAAGCGCTAATTATATGAACAAGTGCCATGTATTTATTCAGACGAGAACAACAGCGAACACAAACCAGCGCATATACGAACGGAATGGTTTGTATGTACAAACTTCTCAGTGAACGAAGTTGTTTCTAGCCCGGTATCCGAAATTGCAGTATACGACTTGACCAGTCCCCGTGGGAAGTGGCCTAAGTGTTACCCGTTGCTGCACACCCGATGGCACATCGGCGAAACCCCTATTGAAAAGTGTATACTCTTTTCACTGTTCTGACCTTAATTTTCGATGTACGTATTTCATTTTCATAGCAATGTGTTTACAATAGAATGTTCTATAAGATCATAAATATAAAATGTAACACAAGGATGCGTTAGACCGGCACCAAATAAAAAACTATGTCGATTATACTCGTCGTGTCAACAATACAATGGTCTTACCACGTTATGCAATGCCATGCCGTTCTCTCAAATAGGCCATGCGGCTATTAGAGAAAACGAAAATTTCATGGCGCACATTTTTAAACTATCCCCAAGTCGATCGGATAAAAAATGGATTTTATAGAAGTATTTTTTCTCGTGACTCGTGGGCGAGTCCGTTACGCGGACTCAAGAGAAAAATTGGTAACGCTCTCGAGCGCCGCGAGAGCTTTAAAGTGCTCCACAACATTGTCGCTTGGAGCGTCGATTTCCTATGGTGTTACCCGCCACATATTTACTTCTTATTTCATTATGGAATGAGATTATTTTAGAGTATACATTGGGTTTTCATGTTCTGCATTCAGCACCAACTTTGTAGTGAATAAATATACCATATTTCGTCATTACTTACGTAATGCCAGGCGGCTTTGAGTACATAGCATGTAGTGGCTTTGGGTAATTCTGCGGACCCCTTGCTGCAGTAGGGTATGCTAATCACACCCTACACACCTGCTGTCAGTCATAGACACGCCGGTCATAGCCTAACCCGCCACCTCAAGATAAACCCCACCAGTAACAGGTCCCGTTGATCAGTCAGGCTGTTGGTACTCTATCATAAACAGACTCTCTAAACAGACACGTTTACGTATAATAAAGGGACCTAGTGTATGAAACTCAATCCCTAACGATTTGAAAAGCTGTCCAATCTACGCCTTATTAAAAAATAAAACCAAAAAGTACCTAATTTCATCCTATAGTTTCCTACCAAGTGCCTTGGTGATAACCCTCAAATTTTACTATAATGTACCTACTAATCTTCGTCAAATTTTCTTACAATGTACCTGTTAACATTTCTCAGTTTTCCTAGAAATTACCTACTTAAAATTATCTGTTAGACTAACGACCTGCCCGAAACGCTATGCGTGTTAGTGGCTTTACAAGAATGTAAGAACATCAATGCTATGTACTCGCAGAAACCCAATGTACCTTCTTGTATATAAATAAATAAATAAATAAATAAATAAATAATATATATGGTGCACAAGTCGTCTTATAATGCGTTTTAATTCAAGAATGTCCGAGAGCACGACACATTACACCCAGAGGCACATTTAGCTCGTTTAGCTAAGCAGGTGACAATCTTTTGAAGATTGTTACGTAGTTGTTAATGTTACATACGCATGTGCATATATATAGAATCACTTACACAATTACATATACATATCAATAATCTTTTATTCAACAAGAGGCTCATAACAGTCACTGTACAAGGCACTTTACATGTATGGTGAGTTCACTGCCTCACAACGGTCGCACCATTTTGGAGAGGAAACGAAATGTGCGTGAGAAATGTGATATGTAAAGGGGAGGGGGGCTTGGTTTGGTGGGTTGTTGGTAGGGGAGGGGGAAGTGGGGTTATATGGGAGAGGAGTGGGAAGGGGGGGTCGAAGGTCACCCCAGACAACCACGTGGGTAGCAACAGGTTGTAACTCTTCGGATCACTGCCCCCTGGCTACCGCTTAATCTTTTTCATGTTATTTTAGCAGACTTACTGACACACGATTGTATCACAGGTATATTTAAACGTTGTATTTATAGTTTAATAATATTATTACTCTCATATTGTGAGTGTTGTAATGGGCTTATGTAGTTACAGCCGGGGTTGTTTTGGGAGGTAATTGAAGGGTAACGGACAGGTCGGGTGAGGGGGGCGTGGTCGAGGAGCTGCGGCGTCAGTGGTGGAGGCGGCGGCGGGTGTCTTGGGTACTGGTGGCGGCCACCAGCGTCAGTTGTGTCTCGTCCTCGTCTCTAGCACACACACATACCATGGCATCTGTCACTAAGCTCGGTGAGTGTTGCTGTGTGGACCCTCCGTTGTCATAAATGAATATGTCAAGTGGTGTGCTTGTTTGAGGGTCGTTACCGGGGGTCGACCAGGCCATTAGACCCTCCCGCTGGTGGCAGTCTTGTCACTGCTCGAATAAAGATTATAATTATATTACTGTAATTGATTATTATTGGCTAACTTTATTTGGTTTAACACTAGTGTACTAGTTTCGTTTTATTCTTTTAACTCGACTTGCTCAATCTTTTAATAAATCTGTATTAATTTAAAGTATGTTTTTACAAAAATACTGGTATAGTTGACTTTGTTGTATTCTCACTCCCAGGGATCCCGGGTTAGACTCCTGGGCACGACAAATGGTTTGAAACCGTTTCCCATCACCTTTTTAACATTTTATTAGTAAAGTTATACCAAAAACTTGGTGCAGAGATTTATTTAAATAAAATGACTATTAATACACTTGTGCAAAGCATTTTGGACAATAAATGGGTACCTGGGAGTACTGTACTTGCCTAGTTGTGTTTGCGGGGGTTGAGCTTTGGCTCCTTGGTCCTACCTCTTAACTGTCAATTGACTGGTGTACAGATTCCAGACCCTATTGAGTTTTATCATGTCTACATTTGAAACTGTGTATGAAGTCTGCATACACATCACTGCCTAATGCATTCCATTTGTAAACTACTGACACTCAAATTCTCTTGATCATTTGGGTACTTGGGTACTCGGTTTCCTCCAGTGTACCCCTTGTTAGTGTTCCATCCATGCTAACTAGTTTTTGTCTACCCTGTCAAGTTCTGAGAATTTTATAGGGGGGTAATCATGTCTTCCCCTAACGGGTTTGTCGTCCAGGGACATGAGATTTAATTCACATAGCCTTGTGGAAGGGAGGCATGCCATTCCTGGAGAAGATTAGTGTTTAGAACTGGATGGGGGGGATGTCAAAAATCCTATAGTATATATATATATACAGTACATGGTTTTCCTGTCTGATACTAGACATTATAATTGTGCTGAAAAAAAACAAGTTTTAAACTGTTCAGTATTTTATGGTAGACTGAGGATGCACCCCCCCCCTTTTTTTTTTTTTCTTCTAAAATTCAGTATGACTGGATAATTGGGTTTTTTAAACACTTTTAGAACACCATTCTCCTTGGTATAACTACTCAGAGTAAGGGCCCCAACCTACTTTCCTTTCAATCTGACATCTTGGTAGAAAAGACCTCTAAAAATTCCTTGATTTTTGCAGCTTTGTTGAGTGTATCGGATAAGACTGGGCTGGTGGAACTTGCGAAAGGATTGACTACTGCCGGTCTAAAACTTGTGGCTTCTGGTGGCACAGCTACAAAATTGAAGGATGCTGGACTCCAGGTAGGTACACTTGTGAATTTGGAATGTAATGACTAATTTATTTTGCAAGACTTAAATAACTGTGGTTTTAAGTAAAGGTAAGAATTTGGTGCAAATTAAGATGACTAGATTTATTGTGCATCTTGAACCAAACCTGTGAGGGGGAGAAGGTAAGCCCCCAATGGGCTCTTGCCTGAACGCTTAAGTTCTGAAAGCTGAATGTTAGGTTAATGATATTCTAGTAAAGTTTTATTACCAGACTTGATAGTTAAAGGTAATGAGTTGCATACCTCTAGTTATGGTCCCTGGTAAAGATGGAACAATGTTTAAAACGTTGAAACAAACTTGGGATACTTGACTAGGATTTTAAGTAAAGGAAAACACGCTTACTTTCCTTGGAAATCGTCTAATTTTTATTTTTAGCTAGACAATTGGTATAGGTACTGTACATCATTAATTTGTAGACTGCTATAATGTGGTGGTGGAAACCAGGTATTGGTAACACTGGCTGTTAATAGCTGATGTCAAAGATTGTATTTACTGTTAGTTTTTAGTCGTATTTCATGGGTACACACGTCCCCAAAAATCTTCCTAAGAAATATATTTGGGGAAACGTTCATTCCTCAAGTGACTGAAAACTTCGACCTCTGGTCATTGTGCATCTACTGTGTGTTGTACATTTTGGCTTAATTTTCTGGTTTAAAAAATCTATTCTAAAAATGTAAGTTATGCACCACCTGTTTAGAGGTATGCTACCATATATATTTTTGATGCTACTAATTTACAAAAGTCCTTGCTTTGCCATTAAAATTGCAGAAATATTTAGGTTACCTGGAGAATTTTTCTTAATTAAAGGTGATTTCTATGTAAAATAGATTTTAAACCCAACCATCTTGAAATTTCAAGAAATTTGGTAGGCTGGTGGAACATTAACTGGCATGCACAAAACCTTTAGGGCTGTTAAGTGCCATATATAAACAGGGTTGCCAGTATGAAGACAAAGTTCTTGAATGTTCATAGCCTTCTAATTTAGGTAGACCTTCCTGTGCATGTCTTTTAAAACTAAGGAAATGTGTATACAGTATATTAATTCCTTCATTTGATGATCACATGTGACCTTAAATATACTATATGTAGTATACCTGTACAAACTTTCCAACCCCCTCCCCCCAAAAGAAAAGCAGCCAAGTGATACACTTGGCTTTTCCCCAAAAAATTGAATGCATTTCGAGGTATTAGTGAAGTCTTGTCATCTTGAAATAAAAGCATAAAGTAATGTACTTGACACTAGTATTTAATAAACGGTGCATCCTTGGCTTCAAACCAAACAAGTTCTACCTTGACTAGAAGAAAAATACAAAAGTTTTGCTTGCAAGCTAAAAAGTTTTTTTTTAGTTTCCTTATTGGCATTACAGTACTGCTGTGTGTAAATTGGAGGGCTAAAATTTTGTATCTGTCGCTTAATGTACTAACATCCTACGAAATTTACGTAACGCGGAAATGCTTGGGTTTGGAACTGTAGTGATTTGGCATATAATGACCATTTTTAAAATGGGGTTTAGGTGTCTGAAGTAGCTGAAGTAACTGGAGCAGCAGAGATGTTGGGAGGACGTGTAAAGACGCTTCATCCCACCATCCATGGTGGCATCCTTGCCAGAGACACTGCAGCTGACCTTGCCGATCTTAAGGCCAGAAATATTGACATCATCCAGGCAAGTTTTGGTAGCTATATGGTTAAAATTTTCATGTTTATTTAAATACAGTACCTGTATACAGTACTATTTACGTATTTTAGTTTTTTCCCCCCTAAAATTAAGTAGGCAAATTTATAAAATTGCAATCGTGGTTTACCTAAACACAGGTTGTAGTGTGTAACCTCTACCCATTTGTGAAGACAATCAGCAAAGCGGGTGTTACTGTGGAAGAGGCTGTAGAGAACATTGACATAGGTGGCGTAACACTCCTCCGTGCTGCTGCCAAGAATCATAGTCGTGTCACTGTTGTCTGTGATCCTCTGGATTATGACTTGGTTATAGAAGAACTGAAAACTGGAGACACTTTACCTGAAACGAGGCAAGTGTTAGTTTTATGTACCGAAAAATAAAATTGACTACATTTAATCTGGAAAGGGTGTAGATCTTGGTTTGACTAAAATGTGAGTGAACATGTTGACTGCATTAAGGAGTAAACTTTCCCAGTCTTTGGAACTGATAATTTACTCTACCATACTACCAACACTGGGCTTTTAAGTCTTTTCTAAATGTTTAAACCATTTTTAATTGGTGTTTGAATCTAATGGGGCTTTTTGAAATGCTTAAATTAACTAGTGTATACAGAGCAGTAACCTATTAATGCCTTTATCTTCCCCCTTTAAGGCAAAAGTTGGCACTAAAGGCATTTACCCACACTGCCCAGTATGATGATCACATCAGTGACTACTTTAGAAAAACCTACTCTGCCGGAGTGTCACAATTGCCTCTTCGCTATGGCATGAACCCACACCAAAAGCCTGCTCAAGTCTTTACTCAAGTTGCTAAGCTTCCTCTAACAAGTGAGTAATAACATGCGCACACATTACCCCCCCCCCCTAAATAGTTTTGTTAATAAATTTGCAAAAGAGTATTGGGCTTGGAACTGTGGTGCATGTCTTTGAGTGTGGTACATTTAAGTTAATGTGGCAATACTTTAAAGATCCTTCAGGCTGTTTGCAGGACTTAAAGCAAAATGCTTCTTTGACAGCTGTAAATGGATCCCCTGGCTTCATAAACCTCTGTGATGCTCTAAATGCCTGGCAGTTAGTCAAAGAACTTCGTGCTGCCCTTGACCTACCTGCTGCCGCTTCATTCAAGCATGTATCTCCCGCTGGGGCTGCTGTAGCTAATCCCCTAGATGAGACAGAGGCAAGTTGATCTCTCACTAATCTCAATCTTGAATCCCTTGCTGCATTGATACAATGAAGTGCATAAACTACACTGGCCATAAATATTTGTCTGAAATGTCTTTAATTGTCCATGGTTCAGATGAAGGTATGCATGGTGGATGACCTAGAAGACCTGACACCCCTGGCGACTGCTTATGCTAGGGCCAGAGGAGCCGATCGTATGTCTTCGTTCGGAGATTTTGTGGCTCTTTCGGATGAATGTGATCTTCTTACGGCAAAGATTATATCTAGGGAGGTAAGTTCTGAACCCTAATGCTTCTGCTTTAATAATGTTCATAATTTACTATAGAGCATCTAATTTTGATACTTTGATGTTCACAGGTGTCGGATGGTGTTGTTGCTCCTGGGTACTCGGCTGAGGCCTTGGCACTTTTGAAGAAGAAAAAAGGTGGAAACTACTGTATCTTGCAGGCAAGTGAGGTTAAAGTTTGACCCCCCTACCCCCCCCCCCAAAAAAAAAAAAAAAACTAGTTGGCGTATTATGGTGTGCAAAGAATTAAACTGAAGTTAAATATTTGTGGAGGCGGCGCTGACCTTATGACAAATTCTTACTAGACTATGTATAGCAATATTTACCACTCTAGTTTACATTACTTTTGCTAATGTTCATTAAATTGGCTAGTGGTAAAGTTAAAAAAAAAAACAAAAAAAAAAAACAGTACCTTGGTGCTGAAACATGATTAATTCCAGAAGGCTATGTACAGAATAACTTTCCGACAAAGAATAAACTGGATCATTTAGTTCCAAACCACCAAAAAATGCTTGTGAAAGCATTTTTACTAGACTTTTTAGTTTAAGTTTAAAAGTGTAGCATGCATAAATCATTCCTAACCTAAACGGTTAATAAATGCAAATTTATTCTAACCTTACCTGTACATGATTTGAGATTTTTGTTTGCCAAAGTAGTGGCATTTAGTTTTTTTTTTTGCCTTTGGTTTAAAAATGTTCTTGTCATGCATAACCTTCATTCAACAAGTTTAAGTTTGCCACACCTAGGTACATTGTTCCTTTCCTCCTGTAAGGCCAAATTCTGTTGCCTTGTGATGTGCTTTTGTTCAGTAATGCTTAGCAAACGGCTGGTTAAACATTACTCCTTTAACTATTTGGCATAAACACTTGAACGGCTCCAAACTAATAGTGCCGCGTTATTGCTTGTAAAATGTACTTGGCCAATGGCGTACTTGATTCTGAATCTTTATTTTGTCATGACAGATGGATCCTGCATATGAGGGAAGTCTTCAAGAGCGTCGTACCATATTCGGTCTGACTCTGGAGCAAGGGAGGAATGACGCTTTAATAACGCCCGAGCTTCTTGGTAACATTGTATCTAAAAACAAAAAGGTACAAAACTTTCCTGGGCAGGCACTGTAAAATGTCAGTTTCCTACATACAACCCCATATCTTGAAATAATTTTTTTTTTTTTTTATTTGTAAACCTTTTCTTCCAGCTGACTGAAGAAGCCACTCGTGATCTCATCGTTGCAACCATTGCAGTAAAGTACACACAGTCCAACTCTGTTTGCTATGCTAAAAATGGGCAGGTGGTAGGAATTGGTGCAGGTCAGCAATCTCGTATTCATTGCACAAGACTTGCAGGAGACAAGACCAACAACTGGCAAGTATTGGTGTTTATGGTCACTACAGTTGAACTAGAGCATAATTTTCATTATGACTAGGTACTGAAGTAGCTAATGCCACATTCTGGTTGAAAGTACTAAAAATAGCACACTTTTTTTTTTTTAACTTTTGTTTTTGCTGTTGTACAGTACTTTAGAACTGATAAATTCTTAGGTGGTTACGTCATCATCCTCGTGTGTTGGGCATGAAGTTTAAAGATGGAGTGAAGAGAGCAGAAAAGTCTAATGCCATTGACAACTTTGTCTCTGGTACTGTGGGTGAGTATTTTAAAAATTCTATCAAATGGGTATAAATTTTTTTTAGGGGTGACACCTAAAGTATTAATATTGGGAACAATAGTATAAATGATCTAGTCTTTATTTTTCTACCTGATTTCCAACCTAAGTTTCCCCTATGTCTGGCTAGATTTGTGTTCTGCTGAACTTGGTAAATGCAGTAATACTACTTGTACTGAATGTTGGCTTTTTAATTTTTTTTTTAATACCCAGTTGCCAAGGAAATGTGAAGCCTATAATAAATTTTGTATGTCTCATTATGTAAAAAAATTTGTACACAGGTTTCTGTACAAATTGTTAAATTTTGTTCTAAAATGGAGAAACTTGTAATGTGTGTGTAGAATTTTAATACTGTATTTACCACACTAATTTTCAAAATTAGGGAAAGATATGCCGGAGTCCCAGTTTGCAGCTGTGCTTGAAGAAGTTCCGGCTCCCCTTACACAAGAAGAAAAAGATTTGTGGGCAAAGAAATTGAGTGGTGTTGCACTGTCTTCAGATGCTTTCTTCCCATTTAGAGATAATGTTGATAGAGCAAAACAGGTATGTTTAACTTGCATCGTTTGTCTTTCAACTCTTAAAGTATATTTAACTTTATCAAATAAAATGCTTGGCGAGCTTGACTTGTATATCTCTGAGAAGTATTAGAGAACCTACCAGTGTTAGCATTACTAAGCATCCTAAACATTCCAGAGTGGTGTAGATTACATCATCAGTCCATCAGGATCTACCAATGACAGCATTGTGGTAGAGGCGTGTGATGAACACTCGATGACTCTTGTACATACAAACCTCCGCCTTTTCCATCATTAGTATCTTCGCTTCATTGTAATGTCTTGGTTATCCTTGACAGAATGCAGTTAAGGTAATTATTTCATAATCCTAATTGTTTTGAAGTTTAATGTATTTGTAATTGCCAATAAAACTTTACTTTGAGTATTCAAGAAGCCCTGTTTATACACCCTGGATAAATTGTAGTACCCAGGTAAGATGGTTCTTTAACCCTTAAGCTGTGCAAAATGTCTCGTGAAGTCGTACATATAGCTCGGTTTTCAAAATTTGCCGAGACGCTTTCAAATGTTTTATACATAATCTACTAGACAAATGCGCCAACTTGGTCTAAAGGATATCAATGTAACTTGAAGATGATAATTATAAAATTTAATACTGGAAACTTTTGGTTTTGAAATTGGCTGCAAAAAATATAACACTTGATCATCAAATGTTCATTTGGTGTTGTGATCTCAGAATAGCATAACATCTTTATTTTCATATATTTAGAATATAGGTTTTCAGTACAGTTTGGGGGGAAAAATAAATAAATATGGCATTTGAAATAGTATGCGTAAAGTTAGAAAACAAATTGTAAACTCCATACGTTTAGTGTTCATGGAAAAATAAATTCTATAGAGATTGTAGAACAGACAGCTGTGCACACTATATATAAAAATGGAGAGAATTGGTCAGAAACTAGATTTTTGGATACTGAAGAAAATTGAAATTCTAGTTTTACATATTTGTTGTCGATAACCTCAATTATAAGGCAGTTGTAATTAATGAATTTGCTTGTAAGGTTTAATAAACATTGTTTGGCATTCGTACTTGAATGTGACCGTTGTAGGTCAATGTGTTGGAGTAAAATAAAACATAACCCCCCACCCCCGGAGTAAAATAAAACATAACCCCCCCCCCCCACCCTCCACCAAAAGTAATTACTATAATGATTTGGGGGATATAATTTTTTTTTTTTTCCCCCCCCCAACACTTTAAGTATAAACTGATCTCCTAATCAAAAATGCCCTAAAGAGACAAAGAAAAATAGTCTTGAAATCTGAAAATCGGCCTAAATAAATTTGAAGTCCCAAGTTCTGTGCCTTGTGACTGATTTATTAGTTGACCAATTTAATTCTCCCTTCACATACTTAGGGACTGGTATGCACTTCTCCAGGATGTGAAGGTTACACCAAAATTGGATAATAAACAAAAAAAAAAAAGTTTTGGACATTGATGAAGTAAGATATTAACATTAGGGAATGTATTTGATATATAACAAAATAGAAAAAATACAAATGAGTTATGTATTACTCCCCCTCCCCATCCGGCCTGTTGATGCCGTGAGGGGAGGCTTGGTGGTTGACTGCTGGAGTGTGATGCTCCATGGGACAGTCCTCTGTCCTTTTGTGGCCTTATGCTCCTGCCGCTGTCTTCTTCAATTGTGCCGGATCGCTTTTTCTTTTCCTTATTTTGTTTTTCTCCCCCTCTTCTCCTATCTACTTGTCGTTTCTTGCCGACCTTTTGCTAGTTTTGATTATTCTTTTGGACTTCTATGTTGATGCCGTGAGGGGAGGCTTGGTGGTTGACTGCTGGAGTGTGATGCTCCATGGGACAGTCCTCTGTCCTTTTGTGGCCTTATGCTCCTGCCGCTGTCTTCTTCAATTGTGCCGGATCGCTTTTTCTTTTCCTTATTTTGTTTTTCTCCCCCTCTTCTCCTTGATTATTCTTTTGGACTTCTATTTTGATGCCCGGGTGCTTGGGTAGGCATACTTGTGTGCCCGTAGAACTTTAGTAACCAACGTAGAGAGCGAGGGGACCCTTTTATTGTCGATTCTCCTTTCGTCACTTAACCCGATCTCGACGGACTGACGGTCCTTAAGGTGGCGTTTGTGGGGCGTATACTCATGACGCACCCCTGGTGGGGGGGCCCCCAGCATGATCGGCGATAGCTTCTTGTTGGGTGTCCTGCCTCTTAATTGTGGCTCTATGGTGGGTATGGGGGCACATTCGTGAAGGTGTGTCCGACTCATTTCATATCAAATTGTTATTCTTGTCCCTTCTCAGACTCATGGTGGGCGACTAACCCCAAAAAGTTGGACCATGTTGGAAGACCAGGGGCCGGATTCAGGAAGGTACTTACGAAGGTTTTTCCTCTTGGCTAAGAGCGTTTTCCGTCTTAGCGCCTTCGTGGCGGCTACGTCCGTATTCAATTAGCTACCCTAAGTGGGAAAAACCTTCGTAAGTTCATTCCGGGATTTGAGTGTGGTTTCGACCACTCGTAGCTTTACGTAAACTGGATACAAGTCATTTTTTCTCTACTACATAACACTGGGATCGATTTATGATATTGGAACATGACCAAAATATTATAGCTGGTGAATCTAGTGGAGAGGAGTCCTTCGTGTTAGTTATATATGCATTCTCTGCTTGAAACTTGAAGTAAATATGTGTTTGATGATAGTAGAATTAGTTTTATAATAGCAAGATATTATACCAGTAGTTATTAAGTAAATAAACACTGGTGAACATGAAATATGAGAGGTGATGAGCCCTGCCTGATGGGATCATTTACTATCACCAAATGCCCCTGTTCACCTAGTAGTAAGGGTGTACCTTAGCTATACATACCCATTTCTAATTTATTTAGTTTGGTTTTATTTTGAAATTAAATCTGGGTGAGACAAAATAAAAATATGCTGCACAAATGATGTTAGGTAAGGAAAAGGGTAAAAATGTCACACTTTATTCATTGAATACTTAAAGCTATAATTATGACTATATAGATTATTAAAAAAGAGAGGGAAGTAGGGGTCCAAGACCTCTTCCTGTTATACAATTTGGTTGTGGAACAAGTAATTATCAAAAGAAGGCACCATGCCGGGAAAGCTATGTAGCAGTAAGGCAGTGAGGTGAGGCAGCTACTTATTTGAGAAATGCTTATTTTATTTACGTTATAAGCTGAGGCAACTTATTTTATTTGAGGAATACTCAGCTGATTCCTCTACATTTAGTATGGAACAAATTTGTGTCCAAGACCTCTAACTGTTACTCAATTTGGCTGTGTGTAACCAAACTAGAAGTGCTCTACAAATCAAGGGACCCAGAATGTGGAATGACCTCCCGAATCATGTCAAAGGCTGTACCTCTCTCAACCAGTTTAAGAGTTAAACCAAGTACTGCCTAATTAACTCCATGTAACCTAACTTACCTCCTAAATGTCAATCCATGTCTTGCTATTTTTTAAACAACGCTGTTCACCAACATGTGCAATTGCTGATTTATGCTATGTTAACCCCCCTTTTTGTATTTTTTATTCCTTCTTTCAACACAATTTATACCTAATCCCGATTACTATTAAGTTTTAGTCTGTTTCCCCCCCCCCCCCCCACACCTTGCCCAAAATGCTATGAGTATTAGTGGCTTTAGGTATTGTATGTACTAGCTCTGCCTATAAATCCAACATTATGTTTGTAAATCAACTGTATGTACTTTTCCTGAATAAAATGTATTTATTATTTATTTTTTAATCAGTAAGTATTAAAAGAAGGCACCAAGCTGGGAAGGCTATGTAGCACCATTGTGTGTAACAATAAACCAAATTTTTTTTAACAAATAATGCACCTGTATGGGAAAACAAATCCTGTCAGCTGTAAAAATATTGATGCAGTTATTTAAATGAAAAATATAATGAAAGAAATATTACTGGTTTATTTTTATCCTATCTTTTTGTACTGTACAGTATATCCAAGGAAGTGAAAAATTGAGACATAATGCACAATTTAATGAATGATTAGCATGGATTAGCAGTTCAAAAGAAATATGACTTGTATTACATATCAACATGAGATCTTAATGATCCATGGTCAACATGATTTAATAAGGATAATAGTCCTGTATTTGTAATAATACAAACTATAATTTAAAATCTTTATTACTGATTTTTTTTATTAAGAAGATTAGGTATACACAGCAATGTGCTGCTACCCTATTCTATATGGAATATTACAGTGTAGATAAAAAACTAGCTATAAGTTTATCTAATACTCCCATCTCACAGGATGGTTAGACATACTGTACATGGAATCAATTTAGAAAATACCAGCCTCAATACAAAAAACAAATCAACTGTGACTAAACAACTCTAAGCAATTTTCACAAGAGGTAAGCACTGAATCATGGAAACATTATATTATAATTACTCTTACCAGTTTCTACAAAACTCCTCTCAAACAATGTATTTTTAAACATGTTTAGGTATACACAGCAATGTGCTGCTTCCCTATTCTGTATAAAGGACCACAGCTACAAGCAGCTACAAGCTCGCCCAACATCCTCACCTCACAGGATGGCCAGTCATACATGGAATTAGGAGAGAACAAAATACTTAATGCTGATCTATTAGCCTCCACTGGCAAAATCTGGGTGCAGCACAAGAATATCTTCCAATATTCCTGAGTGTATGAAGTAATTACAGAGCTCAAAATACCTCATACCATTTGGTATGAAGTCACTGATAACAGGACAATCACAGATATAGTGTTGGAGAGTATGTTCTCTCAAGTAGGACTGAAAACATGTTTTTTTTCCACCAAGAGGGCTATAAACCTATGGAACCGCCTACCCGCTGAAGCCGTAAATGCCAAATTCCAGCTAAAAAATATCATTAAGACAATTGGCGGGCTCTTTAACAAGCCGCCGGCTTTCTGTCCTCTTCGAGGTCACTAGATAGTTAGTGGCCCTTGGGTAAATTCAGTAAATATATACAATAATTGTCAGCGCATCTTCCGAGCAACAAGGACAGCTACACAGTATCTCTTAGAATTACGTAGGTAAACAACAAATGTAACATATTTGTTTACTACAATGTCGGTGCTGGCTGTAGAAGTTGAAAAAACATTGTTTTACTTCGAAATATACGAATTTTATAAGAAAATTCGACGTAAATAGGAGGCAGTAGAGCTCCGATAAGCCAGCTCTAAATCTTCAATATGAAGAATGTTGCTGCTCTCTGATTGGCCAAAATATTGTTGGTTCACCTGCGTGGCGATAGAGGTCACTACTGTGTTTCGTTTGGATCTAGAATGAATCTAGGTCCACAGGCCTCCCACCCCCAGGAAGCAGCCCGTGACTAACTAACTAGCTGACTAACACCCAGGTACCTATTTTACTGCTAGGTAACAGGGGGCATAGGGTGAAAGAAACTCTGCCCATTGTTTCTCACCGGCGCCCGGGATCGAACCCGGGACCACAGGATCACAAGTCCAGCGTGCTGTCCGCTCGGCTCCCTCCTATCCTAGTAGAGAAAGGTGAGGGGTAGTCACCAAATGTAAGGAAGCGATATGAGAATAGAACAGTACAATTTCCAGTCAAGAATGTAGCACTCGGCGTAGGCAGTTCTAATTGTTTCCAAGACGCTACAGCTTCGACACAGAACAGATGTCTCAGACCCTGTTGGAATATAACCAGTCTGTCAATCGGGTCAACCCAAGTGTTGCATTTCCATGCGTTTCCAAAAGGGTCGCCCATGTTGGAATCTGTGAACGCCCTAGTAATATTGTTGAAAACATCTTAATAACTTATTAAACCAAAGATCTTTTTATGTCAGAAGAACGGCAGAAACTGGATCTATATATGAAAACTCTTTCAGGACACAATTTAAAGTAAAACTAGATTAAAGTAAATTTATGTTTCTATCTTTCTTGAGACGTATAAAAATCTTAGGTTTATTAACGATTCTGCGTGAAATAAGCATTGTTCTGAGATGAATATTGCGGATTTCCGGCTCTACGACCGATGAAAAATGCAACTTTTATACAACTACAAATATCTTTAGTTTTACTTTAAATTTTGTCCTGAAAGAGTTTTCATATATAGATCCAGTTTCTACCGTTCTTCTGACATAAAAAGACCTTTGGTTTAATAAGTTATTAAGAAGAAAATACGTCAATTTCTACTTCCTAATTGTGTTGTACATCGGTATATAAGAATGAAGGTAACTGCAGAAAGCCTATTGGCCCATATGTACATGTATTAGCGTCCTCATCCTTCCTATAAGTACTATTAAAACAGGTGAATGGGCTGCAATATCTTATTAATGCCATTACCTGTCAACTTGATATTACACAATACTATGGTGTAACGAGTTTAAATTGAAATGGGGCAGTGTAGTTCTCTAGCGACTTCTTGGATCAAATCTTGTGCATATCTTCCCAAAAACATAGCCTAAGGGCCAGTTTTCTGCATTAATCTTTCAAAATGGTATTCATAGAATTGCTTCAGAAGTGGTACTATGGTAGGTATGATTTTGTAGTGAAGTTTTCACAAGTAGTCATATCATAATCTTCCTTATTTACTTATACCTGTATACAACTCCTTTTGTTCTAGAGATTGCATTTTTCACATGTATTTTCATCTTCATGTGATAATAATAATAATACAGTAAGCCCTTGCTTTACATAAGCAAATTTCATGAAAACAAGTTTAAGATTGTAAACTGTTATAATAGCTGCAAGCCTCTCCATACAAAACTTCCAGGCAGCATTTGCCCCAAACTCTCCATATTAACTAACAAATTCAATCCTTGAAATCAACACAACTGCCAGGAAAGTCAGCACCATATTTGAATGCATCGACTAGCACATCCATTGATGATGATGTACAAATATTTGATGAAGTCAGACGAATCGAGCCATTGTTGAGGGAAATGCAGCTGCACTCTGCATATCAGAAAATGACTTGATTGAATATCATTTATTAAACATGGTTACTCGCCAAAGAGAACACTGGTAAAGTTAAACCCAACTGTTTGACACCTCCATCCTGGAAACGGCCATTGTTTCCAAAACGGTAATGAAAGTGAGTAAATATTTTTTTATTTTTTTTGGGGGGGGGTGGAAGGAACAGGCATTGAAGACCATTTGGAAAAGATAATTATGCGAGAATTTAATGCAGAAAGTTGGTAAAACAAATTAAAACACTAATTTGTGCTTAGTAAACCATTACTTGCGTATTTGTAGTAAAAAAAAAAAAAGTACCTACCTCATGTTAGGTGAATTTAATGGTTTCAAAACTTAAAGAAGCAAAGGCTTGCTGTAGTTTGTACTGTATTTTCACCTGCATTGGGAGATGTTATATTTTATCAATTGCCTTTATGCAATAATAATTTTTATATTCACAACCAAAACAACTTATATTTTCAGGCAGCATTAGATCTTGGAACAAGTAAATTGGGATTGAGGTAAGAATGGTAACACGTGACTGGTCTGTATTTACTTGTCCAGTATCTGGTTTATATTGATTGCTGGATGGATGTCTAACAATATAACCTATACAGTTCAGTACAGATTCATTTTTACATCACTGTTGCTTTTAAACTAACCTGTTCATTAAATCCTGGATACATACAATATGAAAATTCAAACTAAAAGTAGTATGTTGTGCTATGTGAATTGTTAAACAGTTTAGATAGAAGTGGCAAGTTCCAAAAGCAGACCATTTTTTTTTAATGCAAACAAAAGTTTTTATCATTTAACAGCCTTCAAGAGAACTCACAGAACAGACTCTAAAACAGGTTCAAATGTTTCGTAAGCATCTAGATAATCCAGTGGTTCGTGACCTTCTTGTTGTTGGTGGTATACCCGTGAAGGAGCAAATAGCAGCACTCAATGCAGGTGTGGATATTGTTTGTGGTACTCCAGGACGCTTGGAAGATCTTATTAATACAGGACAACTCTCTCCAGTCTTGCAAATTCTTTGTGTTGGATGAGGCTGATGGACTTCTTAAACAGGTAAGTTTGATTTTATCTAAGGAAAAGTACTTTTTATATTTTGGTAGTAAATATGTAGGAATACCTGATATAAATTCAAGTACTGTATCATCAGCTTGCCTTATGAATTAGAAAAAAAACTAAGAACTCTTGACTACCTGATTTCTTGTATTAAGTCAACTACTCGTGGAACATTTACACATTTCCTTAATGTGCGTCTTTGGCTATCAGTAAATGGGCACTTGAGAGTTGGGCAACTTTTATAGATTTCATCCTGGAAAGGTTGGTCATATTTTTTAAATGACTTTAAATATACAGCTGATTTATTTATAAGGTAACTTGATGCATTACTGTATTTTGTTGACTTTCATTTATTGCATTAAATTTCTTGCCATATTTTGTTTCATGTAATTACTTTATCTTGTATACAAGTGTACTGGTATTGCAGGGGCATGAGCGTCTCATCAATAACATCTACAACTCCATACCCAAAATCACATCTGAAGGCAAGAGACTCCAGATGGTGGTCTGTTCTGCCACCCTACATTCCTTTGAAGTGAAGCTCATGGCAGTAAGTTTCTGAACCCTTATTTGGTAACACTTGTTTGCTAAGGAAAATTGTGCCTTCTCAACGGTGCAATGTCTTAAGACTAAGGATTATGAATTATCTTAGATTATGGTATACTATATAATAATCAAGTGAAAATTAACAGTGAATAGCATGACTAGTGTGTTCCAAGCATATATGGAGTGGAAAGAATGTTGTCTAATGTATCAATTAGTTTCCATAAAGAATATTTTGTACAAGGGTGACATTTTATTAATGGTTAGGTATACATATTTTATATATATAATATGACATTGTGTCTTTAATACTTCAAAGTTACTTAATGCTCTCTTTTTCAATGTGGAAATACTGTAGATTGAATCATAAGTGCATGTTAGGAATTTGTGTATCAGACTTTATGAATGTAATTGCAGAAGTGGTGAAGGTGAGAGATTCAGTAGTTTAAAGCTTTACTATTCATGTTGGAAGGCACTTGATCATAGTTTTTAATCATAGTAGTTTAATCATAGATGGAAAATGTGTTACCTGAAAGAAATAGAAGAAAAGATAATATCATAGTAAATATAGTACAATATTTAGTATGTTGCTTTTACTATAGGCACGGTTTACATTCCACCAGTCAATTTCCTTCCCTCAGTTCTGTCTTTGCTCAATCTTATTTGCATGAAACTTTTTTCCAATTACACGCATCAAATATTTAAACGACAGATTCTAGTACTGTACTTCCTACATCACACACTCGTCATCCTTTCTACTACAGTTTGCTTCAGTTTACTCATTTTCAAGTCTTCTACTATCCACAGTAAAGCTTTCAGCTGCACAATATCTCACCCCCTCGCACACTGCTACAACTCCATATGTTTCACCCAAGTATGGATGATGATGTTGATGTTCAAGATTCGCTACTTGGAACAAAAAGTCCCAAGCAGCACGGGCTATGGTGAGCCTGTAGGATGATGACGACAAAACTCTGGCATGTTACATTTCATCCACCTGCTTTAAAGCTGTCATTAAGAGCTATAGAAACTTAATTTTGAGAACCTTTCACAGAGGAGCAGCATCATTACCAATTTTCCATGCAGATTTCACTTGAGGACTTTAAGGCATCAGTGCAGCTACTTCCTTCCCTCTCTTCCCTCATTTCATAACCTGTCCTCTTAAAAATGTCGCTTTTGGCCGTTTGCCCGTATGGCCGAAAGTGGACGTACAGTTATATGAAAATGAAAAAAAAAAAATGAAAATTTGGGATTTCTTTTTTTTTTCAACAACAGTAAGTTAAGGGTCCTCTGGTAGGTTAGGTGGGCAGGAAATTCTCATAAAGTTTCAAAACGTTATGAAAAACGTTAATTGAAAGTTTCCTCTTCTAACCTTACCGAGTAAGCCGGACGACTCAAACAGAAAACAGGACAGTACGTCACTTTTGTGAGTTAATTTCATTTCAAATTACGTCCACTTTTGGCCATAGCGCGTATACGAGCGAAAAGTGACGTTATTTTTAAGAGGACGGGTTGCATATCATCCCATCTTCCTGTGAAGAGGAAGTTTGTGTTGTTGTTTTTCTGCAGTAATTGGCATCTCACAAGGAGCTCTGTATACCTACTTAAGCACTACTGTGGATCATTGCTGCTATTGATTTACTGGTGTGTGTGGTCATTCATGTTCTGTGATTGTGTTTTGTGAAAAGTATGGTTAATTTATTGTGTAATGTGTAACAAGTTTTATCTCTTCGTATACGCCTCCATGTTTTCTTGGTGTTGATGCCTTCCAACCTCGTGAAAGTGGAACATAGTGGTAGTGGAGCAAGCTTGTCTGATATTAGACACTGAACTTAAGAATCCTGTGTGTGGATGGTGCAAGTGCATTGCACCTAACAATGCACTTGCAATGCATTATTTAAGTCAATTTAAATTATTTATTCCAGAAATATGTAGAAAAATGTTGAAATTCTGCTTGATTGTATTAAGGAGATGGAAAATGTATTTAAAGCAGATTACATTTAAAAAATGAACAGAAGTACAGTACTTGCTATATTTTGTATTTAAATGTTATTATTAACTGATAAAATAGAATTGTCTGTAAATGGTACAGTATGAATATAATGTACTGTATTGCTAATCATTGTTATGTCAGTTCTTATAGCAGATTATTTGAAAGAATTGGTAGCTACTAGTCTGTTAAATAAGGGTGTACATGTTGAAGCCAAAACTTTTATCGTATAATATTTTTTTAATTTTGGTTTTTAATTTAGTGTCTATAAATAAGAGATGTACAAAAAATTTGTAAAAAGAAGAAAAAAATAATAATTTTACCAAGAATATTTTCTTGATATTAGAGCCTCTGAATTCCAAATAGAGTACAGATATTTCAATACCTTAAAATAATTTTGCTCCGACCAGTGAATTTTACTATAGAAAAACTTTACACAGGAACGTTTGATGCACTTCCCGACTTGGGTAGATCTTAAAGGGGAAGATGCTGTGCCCGAGACTGTCCACCATGTTGTCGTAACCATTGATTGCAGATGGCGTGCATGTTAAGGATGGCGTACGACCTGGGAACAATACACCTGGTAAGCAAATAAAAGTGCAAGGCTAAGCTTTACAGTTAATATTTGAGAATGTGTCTTAGTTTTTTAAAGTACTGTAAGTGTAAGTGCTTCTAATGTTTTAATTTGTTATGCTTTTCAGTTTGGTGTCCAGAATTTTTATTTAGCTTGTTCAGATATGTATTTAGATACCATTTGCCAATTTTAATGGTTTGTAATATGCTGCTTCACATTATGAGCTATGAATATTTTTTGAGGTTCACTTAAGCTGGATTGTACTTAAGCATTAGTACCGATCGGCACGACCAGTTGGCCTGGCCCCTGCCTTCAACTAACTTCCATACTCAGTTCTGTTGCTGTTGTTCTATTGGTGATTGCTACTTTAGTGCTCCGGTTCACCACTCAATTGCAGCGCTAATCTCATACCCTTCTAGCATTGAGATTACAGTATTATGTAGTACTCACTCTCCCAATAATGCAATACTTGATAATATTTTCCAGTAGTTAATAATAGCTTGAATTTAACATTATGATCATGAATATATAGGATTATGAATACTGTATAGCATTACTGAATATAGCATTATTGAATATCGAATCATGTCCAAACAAATTCCGTGACTGGTGTGATCCACTTGCACGGAGCAATTTCGGTGAGATAGCTTTAGGAGGGCCACTGGACATCTACCGGAAAGAGGCATTTCTTTACATTCATTGCTGTTTTGTTTTTTCTCCTTTCAGAGACATTAAGTGAGGCGGTGAAGCTGCTGAAAGGAGAGTACTGCATTAAGGCTATTGACACACACAAAATGGATCAAGCACTAATATTCTGCCGCACTAAGTTGGATTGTGACAATTTAGAGCGCTATTTTAATCAAATTGGTAGGTGTCTTGAATTTGTAAATCTTTAAATAGATTAAACCCCTACACTGTGTGCCTGTTACTTATACTAGTAACAACTCCATGGTGTGAAAAAAAAAGTTCTTTAATGTTAAAATAATCACTGAAAAATAATAATTAACATTTAGTTTACTTTGGCTGTGGTCGAAAGAAGAAATATCTCGGGCACAATTTGGAGACATTGGTGGATGAGATTACCAGGCATAAAGGTTCCCTGGGTGACATGAGTTGCCAAAAATACATTTACATTATTTTAGTGTTACTGATTTTATTCACTGGTATTTTGCAGCTATATTATGCAACAGTGTTTAACTTAAGAAATTTCTATAATAAAACATGCAAAATATAAATACACATTTGTATCACTAATATACACACACAGTATTATATTCTATGAACAATAAAATGTGCTGGTTTTTGCTATTATCGCATTGCATACACATTCTATGTACAGTATATCTACATACACTAATATGATCCACTAATCAGTTCTGGTAGGTTATCTTGGAGATGATTTCGGGGCTTTTTAGTGTCCACGCGGCCCGGTCCTCGACCAGGCCTCCACCCCCAGGAAGCAGCCCGTGATAGCTGACTAACACCCAGGTACCTATTTTACTGCTAGGTAACAGGGGCATAGGGTGAAAGAAACACTGCCCATTGTTTCTCGCCGGCGCCCGGGATTGAACCCGGGACCACGGGATCACAAGTCCAGCGTGCTGTCTGCTCGGCCAATCGGCTCCCTTTCCGGGCGTGGTAATCTAGTAACCAGTGATCCAAATTCAGCTTAGCCCTGCATATTTTACATGAAGTTGTAACAGCATGCATTGAACATAATACATCTTATTCATATTTTGAATGCTTTTACCATAGTTTTTCAAGGGCAATGATGCATTGGGCTGTTAATATTATTTTATTATTTATATACTGCAAACTACTACTGAATTATTGCTCAGAATGAATGTACGCAGAATGTACTATTGTACATCTAGTATAGAGAGAGAGCTGGGGCAGGGAGGTGCGTGCCCCAGGGAGATAATCCATGCCCATGCCCCGCCTCGAGGTCAGTTCTCGAGTCACACCAAGAATAACAATCGAGCAAGTTGTCCTGACCAGGATGTGGCATATTAGGGAGGGTTGAGGAATAGGAAGCCTGTCTGATAGGGCTCTTGGCAAGCAGCTCTCCCTCAGTCTACCTATCTACAGTATATGGAAGAAATGTATCTAGGCCCTCCTCCCCCCTGCCTATTCTCTCTCCCCCACCTTTCTTCCTTCATTTCCTCCCTCCTTCCCTCCCCCTCACTGGTGAGAGAGTAGGAGTGTGAGAGTGGTTAGAGAACTCGTAGTTCTCACGCTCGTGAAATTGTCTGCGACCCTGGAGGAGTAGAGCGGAGGGGGGGGTGAAAGTAGGTGACGATGGAGGAGTAGAGGGGAGCATTATATGCAGTGAACGTAGGTGTCTATGGAAGAGTACATCATAGAAGAGGGTGAAAGGAAGGTGACGATGGAAGAGGAGAAGGGAGGGGGTGTGAAGGTAGGTGATGATGGAGGAGTAGAGGGGAGGAGGGGGGCAAAGGTAGGTGTCTATGGAAGAGTACATCATAGAGGGGGGTGAAGGTAGGTGGCGATGGAGTAGAGCAAAAGGGGTGGGGGTTGAAAGTAATCCTGAGTTTAATTTTTTAGTTATATATAGTGACACCTCGGCTTACGAATGAATATTTATGAACTTTTCGGGTTACGAGCCTAATTTCTTCGAAAAATTTGAATCGGGTTACAAACTTTGCCTCGGGAAAGGAGTTTGTTGATATACGTATGGGCTGACCTAGCGCGTGGTGGCATGGTGATCGCGCCTCAGTTTACCAGTGTCTCCTGCCTAGTAAGTATCGCGCCTAAATTCTTTGTAAAGCATCACATTTGTTTTGGGATTTTTGGCTATTTGAACATAAAATTTGTTATGATATATCTTGCCATGAGTCCCAAGAAAGCCAGTGGTAAGGTTCAAGCCAAGAAAACACATGTGAGAATGACCATAGAGGAAAAACAAGAGAGCATTCATAAACATCAAAATGGTGCACAGGTTGTTGAACTAGCTAGGCAGTACAACAAATCTATGTCAACAATATGCACTATACTTGCTAAGAAAAAGGACATTATGAGCATTAAAGTGGCAAAAGGCATATCAACAATCCCGAAACAAAGAACACAAACACTTGAGGATGTTAAAAAGTTTTTATTAATTTGGATACACAACAAGGAGTTAGCAGGTGATAGCATTTCAGAGGCCATCATTTGTTAGAAACCAAGGCATTTGCATGAAGACCTTTTAAAGAACTAAATTGCCTTTATCATTCTGGAAAATTTCAATTACAGTATACTGTATATAATTTTGTTAGTATAAATGGACTGAATATTCTGAAATCACTATTAATTTTACAATTTCAGATTCAAAGGTGGTCTGGACACCCAATTTGGTCAGACAGGTGAAGAGAGCATTTAGGATAGTTCGAAGAGATGAAGATGGTCGCAATTGTGTTTGAAGAGGCAAACGCCCCCCTTTGCTCCTGACATTATGTTCAGCCTATTGACCCCTGCACACCTAACACAAGGTAGGTTGAAAACTCCTCCTTCATGTCATTGGTTCATTAGCCAGAAACTTAGGGCCCATGCAGGAATATCCCTAAAAAAAAAAAAGTGGCCCCAACAATGCATCCTCCAAGTCTGGAGGATGAGCAGGAGCATTGTCGAGAAGCAGGCCCTTTAGTGTCAAACTTTTCTCTTGCAGATATTTTTTGATGGCAGGGCAAACTACTCTACATCACAGTTTTTCTGCACGTTATATATTTGTTAAAACTCTTGGATTTTTGGAATGATACACGAGCAAGGGTTTAATTTTCAAATCGCCACACAGCACAAGAGTTAGCCTATCCTGACACAAGTTAGCCCAAGTTAGCTTGTGTCCGGGCAGTGACGTCTCCTCTTGGGTAATGTATGTCCTCTTCGGCAATTTTTTCCAGAATAGCCATGTCTCCTCACAATTAAACACTTGTTGTGGAATATATCCATCAATACAGTATCTACAAAATCTTTAAAATCACGAACAAATCTTTCAGCTCCTACTTTGTATGAGCTGGCACCCTCACCATGCCTCACAACACTATGAATACCACGTCTTTTTTCAAAATTTCTCAAACCATCCCCTACTCGCCTTAAACTCTTTCGTATCTGCAAAACTCGTTCTAGGGGTTTTCTTTATAAGATCTTGCATGAAGATTTCATTGTTGACCAAACCACACACTGGAAATTGAATAGACGACGACATTTCGATCCGTCCTGGACCATTATAAAGTCGATTGTGATGAGATGAGGGAAGCAAGAGCATTAAGTAGGCAAGAGAGAGAGGTGAGGAGATGGCAAGTATGTACGTATGTACATGAATAAAACATGTACATACTTATACATAACGTGTGTAAATAGTGTAATAAACACAATAACAGTATTTTGGGAGGAGGAATGTTGGCGAGTAATGTGTTGGAGGAGGGAGGGAGGACTGGCAGGGTGTGGCAGCTCACTCATGTTTTTTGGGCTCACCATACCAACATAGTGGATCGTTATGGTGAATACATACGTAGATGGGTATATACAATGTGTGTATATAGTGTAATAACAGCAAAAACACTGTTTGATTGTAGAATATGTCGCATATATGAGGCCCATAATTTTGAGCATAGCGATGTTCTATACTTTGAATTATATAAATTCCACAAATTACACACTTTTAAATAATATTACAGCAAAAAAAAAGAAGAAATGAATGAGAAACTTCAAAATAATTGCGCAACATTTTATTCGCAGCAACTGCCGTCGCACGGGGTGGCGGGGCCGACAGACCCCCATCGCTCCAACGCTCAGCGCCCATAATTTGCTCAACTTCCCAGCTCCATCGCAGCTAAAGTAAGTCACATACAATATTTTTTGTTTAGTTTCCCCGTGATCAGACTCTGCATTTTAACAATATAAGAAGAGAAAAAAATTTGTTGGAAAGAATTTATTTCTTGTGTACCAGGGTGTTATTTGGAGACAGAGCAGTTCAGTGGTTAACTACTAAATTTTTTTTCTCCCACACACGCACCCCCCTAGGAAGCAGCCTGTAACAGCTAACTCCCAGATACCTATTTACTGTTAGGTAACAGGGGTCATCCCCTTTTGTACAAAGAATCTGCTAAAGCTTTTAGGGGTAATCTTTGACACTCGTTTGTCTTTGTCGCCCCATATTTTTTACGTCCGAGTTGAATGCTCTAAGGCCCTTAACTAACTTTAAGTCATGTCCCATACTTCTTGGGGAGCTAATCGACACTGCTCCTCTCTTTACATTCCTCTCTCGTTCTGTCTAAACTCGATTATGGCCCTGTTTACTCGTCTGCTTCTCCTTCTACCCTTCACCATCTGGACACACTGCATCATACTGGGTTACGGCTCAGCTCTGGTACCTTTCCTTCGACACCTACCCTAAGCCTGTATGTTGAAACTGGCGTCCTGTTTCTACAGGATCGCCATGATCGCTACTGTCTTCTCCACCTTGCACGGTCCTTACAGCACCCTCACTCTTGCTTATGTCATGCCTTGACCTTTACCCATCCTGTGGTTCCTGTTCCCCTTCACCACCTATCTCTTTCTGTACGGTTGTCTCTCTTACAAAATGCTCTTTCAGTTTGTGTTACCAATATTTCCCCTCGTGTCATTCCGTCTTTGCCCCTATGGAGGGGTCCCCGTTCCTAAATTCTGTAAGCCTTGACCCACATGACTAAAACTTTTACCCCTCCTACAGTTCTAAATCACCTTTTCCTTGAACACTTTTCTTCACACTTCCACTCTATTTCCGTCTTCACCAATGGGTCTTAAGTCTGCAGACGGTGTAGGCTACTCTGTTGTTTTTCCTGACTGCACCTTTGTGTCTCCTGCCTCCGGAGACTAGCATCTTCATGGCAGAACTTTATGCTATTCTCTATGCTCTTCATCAACTCTTTTCTCGCTGTCAATCCTCCTCTGTGTTTGTAGTTGACACTTGCAGTGCCCTCATGGCTCTAGAATCCTTTAATCCAGTCCATCCTTTGGTAGTTGAAATTCAACATTGGCTGTTTCTTATCTCCAGTAGATTTAAGACAGTGGAATTTCGCTGGATTCCCACCCATATTGGTGTGTTCTTAAATGAGAGTGCGGACACTGCCGCTAAGGAAGCTATCCGCACCTGTCCCATCTCCCGTAAAGGTATTCCTTATTATGACTTTTACCCAGTTATTCATTTCCCCATTCTTGCCCGTTGTCAGGGTTGTTGGTCTTCTGTTACTGGTAACAAACTGCGTGCTCTTAAGAGTAATGTGTTCCCGTGGCCTTCCTCCTACCACCGTAACCGGTGGTGGGAAACGGCTCTGGCGAGGTTGTATATTGGTCATACACGTTTAACTCACGGGCACTTAATGGAGCGCTGCCCTGCTTCTTATTGTCCAAACCGTTGTCTCTACATGTCCTGACTTCCAGGACTTACGTGTCTTGCTTCCCGACCATCCCTCACTGTCAATTGTCCCTCGATAAAATTCTTGGTAAATTCAATACCTTTGATATTGTTCGCCGTATGCGTTTTTGTTCTTGTATTGGCGACGTTAGTGATATTTAGCGCACTATGATTATCCCACACATTTGATGGTTTGATAAGTACTGTACTGTACAGTACTTTGGTTTGGAATGTATCAAATAAAGTTGTTTCATGTATTCAAATGTGTGAGAAAATCCACTGGGGCTGTGAGATGAAACGAACCTGTAACAAAGGCATTGCCAGTTGCATACTCTACCACCACTGATGGTAAAAGTCTTACAACTGGATATCTTGTGTGACGGGTTATGGTATCACAGCTATACTGAACCAAGATGGTATGGCTCTCCCTCACATAAATGAAAGAAATGCTGCTATTGGCCTTGCAGTGTGTAAGTTGCAGGTGGAAACAAATGAAAATTATCAAATAAATAATTAAACAATTTACTGAAATAGTAATGAACAAAAATAACACATGACAATACTTGACTATCATGTAATGCAAAGGTGAACAAGTTAGTATGACCTTAAATGCAAAAAATAAACTATAAGCAATGAATAAAAGTATGAAGATATACTGGTGTTCTGAAGACAGCTACCATACCACCATGGCATCAGTCACACGACGTTGGCTGGAAGCGGGCGACGGGTTAGAGACACGAAGGTGATCCTAGAGCACTAAGGGAGACATTGCCTCTCCAGGGAGGCAGCGCTCTTTATATAGTCCGGCGGTGATGACTCATCCAGTGTCAACACGAGGTGGACATCTGGTCAACTAGCAAACTGCTCGTTGTGGCTGGCGGTGCCTTTGTGTTGAGCTGTACCACTGTCAGTTGAAGGCGGCTAACTGCTTGTTTGTGGGGACAAACTGCCAGTTAGCAGTGGCGCCCGGCTTGCCTCTGAGTCGTACCAGGCCGTGCCAGGCCCTGGGGGGTATGGAGAGGTGGCAGGACTGATGACTCTTCTGGGCTGGTGTAGATGTATACTTCCAGTGCAGAGGCATTGAAGGTGAAGGGAAAAGGCAGTTCCACTGCTATGCAGGGGATTCACGTGACACTTGTGAAGCCACAGAAAGTCTGGAGGCCCTACTGAAGCCAGTCCAAGTATTAAATAAAACCCCTGAAGTACGCCGGCGAAGGGTAAAGTGAAGGGTGAAGCAAGACCATATGCCCCAACTTCAGGCACACACAGAAAATCACGTTTTGGTCCCGCCTCTCAACTGTGTATTTGAAGTTGGGGTGTATGGTGTTGAACTGCTTCAGCCTTCACCCGAGTGCTTGTACGTCTTACGTAAGACGTTGACTCAAGGAGTGGCCTCAAAACTTGCTGTGATTTATGGGGAAATCCGGTTGTAAGACTTTTACAAAGTCAGTAATATACTGTGGTAGAGTATGCAGCTGCCAATGCCTTGGGCAAGGGTTTACGTCGCCTCACAGCTCCAGTGGATTTTCTGCTTGGTGTATATCAGGTTGTGATTTTGTGTGTGTACCGTATTGTTATGATCGCCGTCTGATAAGTCCTCTCTGGCCTCAAGAGTCATTGTTACCCACCTAAAAAGATTGCAGATGGCCAAAGCAGTTATTTAAGTTAAGAAGGGACAAGTCTTAAACAGAATTTTACATAATATTTGACTGTAAAGGGGTAAATTGAGGTAGATTGAAAAACAAAATGGTGAACCGGGCAGGCGGTACTCACAATTAGGCGAGTACACTCGGGAACTTTTAAAGTGCAACCAAACATGCTTTAGGCTCTCACAACAAGAGGTGAGTGGTGGTGGCTCAGGTGCTCAGCCAATCAGAGCACCTAAGGAGGGAGGGCAGGAGTGAGAGGGGGGGGGTGGTATGTGGAAGTTTGGTGACAGTTGTGTGTAGTTTGTTCATCTTCATTGTAAGTTTCATGGCTTGGTGTGCATTTC